AGTCCTGTCTAATACTGGTTACTACAGTGTCCTCTTGTTTCGGAGTTGCAAAGTGCTAAAATAACGTAGGCATTGTAATAATTACTAAACCCAATATTAGTTAACTATAATAACTATAATAAGTTATGATTAAAAGTAATTTTTTCGAGTTATAAAGCGCCAAATTTGGATGATTAGCGCTTTACAATGCTATTATTAGCCCGGTCATAGAAAACAACGAAAACCAGCACACATTGTGTGCACCATCTCAACTCCCTGGGGAGCAATCCTTCCAAGCGGCTCATGGGCATTGAGAAGATCGTTCACATAAAGGCTTTCACCTTCTACCGGTTTCCCATTTATACACCTGAGAGCAGCAATAATTACTGTAGCCTATTTGATATGCGTCGAGCTCTATGGCAAGTGCACTAATCGCGTTTAACCCTTACTGTACTGGGGGGGGGGGGCTGGGAGGCCCCCCCCCCCTTGACATTTTCGGAGATTGCGCCGCAACCGCTTAGAATTTTGAATTGTCGTTTCATGACTTTTTTCCCTCAAGTCTTACGCACATTTTGATACCATTTTCGTCATAATCGAATATACCTGTAAGGCGTTACATAACAATTAGTATGCGCATGTCATCAACAACAAACAAATAATAATTAAAAATCCATCAAAATTTGCATAAATTATCATTATTAATTACATTAAAATAACTTTTTTGTGTTAGAAAAGAAGTTTCATATGAATAATTAGTTTCAACATTCAAAAAGTGGAGTTTGACACGTTTTCTGTAAAATGCATAAAATTAGCGCATTTTGCATAATTAATTAGGCTAACGACAAACATTTGCATATTCGTAAAAAACTAATTATACCATCTTGTTCCTTACGTAAATATCTACAAACATGCAAATTTTCGTGTTCATCGGACAATCGACGGCCGAGATCATAGGGGGGGGGGGCCTCCCAGGCCCCCCCCCCCCCCAGTCAGTGGGTGCTCAAAATAGCCCAGTACAGTAAGGGTTAAGGAGACCGACATCGGCTGACGCCCGCGCCGATGTCAGTCTCCATAAAACGCGATTAGCCACTATATGCCCTTTCAGCTAGAAACCCCCAATATCTCATATTTTCAGACATATTTATACATAGTTTTAATTTAATGCTGTATACGTATACGCATGATGATGTTGAATATATATAACAAGTTCCAATTGGTTTCACGAGGTTACGTCTTTAGCTAGTCTAGCCTAGCTGGAAAATTTGGGTCTTTGGGGGCGTCTGGCGGCTACACCCCACCACTTAAAAAGTTTGGCACAGTCATTCGTGTGTCCTTTAGATATAAATAACAAGTTCCAATTGGTTTCACAAAGTTACCTTTTCAGCTAGCCTAGCCGGGAAAGGTCGGATCAACATCATCCTCATCATGGTCACCATCTTCATCACCCTCACCATCACCATCATATTCTTCCTCATCACCACTACCATTTTCATCCTCACCATCATCATTATCATCACTATCATAATCATCCTTCATATTTCATCATGCCGACATGTTAGTCATAATAAACCAAAGTAGAGAACATGAATGTGCTGAATTTAATATAAAAAGGTTTATTTTGTACGTTTACATGAACTAAAGTTAGATTTTCAAATACACGCATCAATGTTTATCTGGTTAGTTAACGAGTATGTAAGTACTAAAGCCTATGATATTAATTCCATCCATGATAAAATGCCTTACTAAGAGTTCTGGTGTTGGCGGAGGCATAACAACTGTGAACAAGAACGTTGTATGTTTAGCTAGATCATTGCAAAAAGCTGGACATTAAACATAACGATTGCTGAGTATGTAAAGTTTGTCTTGCCCCATGTTGTATGAGTTTGTACTTTGTTGGTATTATATTGACAAATGTATTTCGAAAATACTGAAATATGGTTTACTTAGTACAATTACCCGGTAAAGATTAAAACTATGTGTTTGTACTACATTTTTATTCTGACATTTTGAACATATATTTATACAAACATTTTCAAGGAGTGATCAATTCAATACACATGCAGTACCAGGGTTGCCAACTTTGAGCCAGAGGTGAGAGTGAGACACTGCGAGGGAGCTAAGCGACTGAGCGGGGGAGGGTGTGGGAGGGTGTGGGAGGGGTGTGTCCCCCTCCTACGGTAGGGAGCTTTTTGCAATTTTGGACTTGAAATTGTGCAATCTGGTGCATATCTAGATATGAAATTCAGGCTGAAGATTAACTATATCTGGGTAAGGGTGTTTATGATTTGATCGACCAGAAATTTGTAATATATTTTTCACGAAGAAAACAAATAATTGACATATGCACCCCAATACACACACATGCAAATATTATTGTATTTAGTGTCATATGCAGTTCCAACATAAACCATATATGCAACATTATGTATGATCCAACAACATACAGCCAAGAATGAGTCTGGAGGGAGCGAAGCAACATAGGGCTGGGGCAGAGCCAGAGGGGGAGGGGGTAACCTCCCTCCCACGGTAAGGAAGATTTTGCATATATACTTGACATGGTGCAATTTGGTGCACGTCATGCCATACATGTGTCAAACGTGAAACAGGAGTTTTCAACAGGAACTGTATTTATCTCCACAGGTCAATCACCAAATAAACTGCACACAGATTGTGACTGAACAATGGTGCAAGCAAATACTAAACAAAATAACTAGGACTTATAAAACTTATAGCTAATATGTAATTTTCATTGCCAATTTTCGAGAACTTGTTCGTGTCAAACCTGAAAGAAATGTTGTCCATACAATATCTTTATGTCAAAACTCCAACATTGTAGTAACATTATGCTAAATCAAATTAAACACATTTAATGGCTGCTGTGTAGTTTAAGGAAGGGATGATTTCTACACACACGTTTTTCATTTGTAGAATCCAAATACCGGTAACAGGTGTTCGACCTGACATTTTATTTGAATATTGAATTCGTCCCCATCCATCTACGAGAAAATATTCAGACGATGTAAATGGTGGACATTCCCTTGAGAGGGGTAGTACAATTTTGGTAGAGCTAAGCTTTAGTTACCATAAAACAACAACACTACAAAATAGTTATTATTTCACCATGCTTGAAAGTTATAGAAAATTACGAAGACTATGGAAGAAAAAAAACCCGTTATCATTCAAAAAGAGCCATTGAAACACAAGAAGGCGCTCTAAAAAAAACATTGGTTTGAACCATTTTTCATACAAAGTTATGCTTGTGATGTTGTGTTGAAATAATGATGATATAAAGAAATCATCAACAACTATTTAAAAACCTCTTTTGAAAATGTTTGAAAAGTGTAAGCATTTTATTAATTTTTAGAAAAATCATCTTATAAATTTGGGGCCCAAATTCATTCTGACTGGATATATTTATTGATATTTCAGCCGTTTCTAAATTTCAAATTTTACACTTGATTTTCATTATCTCACAAACAAATTATTTTGTGTAGCACCCTCTTTACCAAAACTGAACTACCTCTTTAAGCGATAGGAATTTAAACAAAAAGTGACAATGCTTTCCATTTACTGAAACTTATGGAAAACATACATTTCAATAACATTCAATATGGCCTTGATCATGTTGGTAATGGCTGTCTGTTAGGATCATTCACACCCCTGCTGTAATGTACATGAATTCTGTGGTGCTAGTGGCGACTAATCAAACGAAAGTCCACTCTACTGCTTTCCGCTTGAGGGAAACATCATTACTGGTTGTGCCATAGCAGGTTCTTTCATGGTTTTGAATAGATGGAATCCATTTGCATACCCACTTCAGTATTGATGTCCTTTCTCTGACGCATTGGGGTGATAAACTGTGTGGTTGACCCGCCTATATCCATCGATACCTATATATAAATATATATATAGGGCAAAAGAAAGAAAATGTGCATATCAGTGGCAATTATCAATGCATAAAGATAACCAAAAGGGTTGGGACTAATCTTCCAATTTGTCTTTTAGACGAAAAGGATTGACCCTGATAAGCACTCTATCAACTACAAAAACATATGCAAACTGGGAAAGGTAAGGCCAATATTAATTTAATCCTAAGAATCGTAAGGGGTTGAGGAGCAAGAGATCATCTTCAGTTGAAAATAATGACTCCGCTATCAAGCCAAAATTAACATGCACTGAATTAATCTGTAAACTCAACTTTGATGGTAATTCATCAACCAGATCCTGAGAAATCACAATTACAAGCTATTTTAGAATGATTCCTGAGACCTTGACCTTTGACCTCATGACCCCAAGATTGTACCACTACATTGACTTCATAAAATTCAGGTACCAGGTGTGATTAAAATCTGACATTCATTTCTTGAGTTTTTACAATTAAAGGCCACTTCGCATCTCTAAATTCTGTGACCTTGAACTTTTACCTCATGACCCCAAAATGGTACGGTACGTAAGTCCCCTATTAATTCAGGTACCAAGTTTGATTGAAATCTGATATTCAGTTCTTGAGATTTTGCCATTATAAACAGTTTTAGCATGTATTTATAATATACCGGCAGTCATATGACCTTGACCTTTTGAACTTGTGTCCCCAAATTCTGACCAAATATTTTCCCCTCAAGAGACGTACAGGTACAAAACTTGATGCTATTTTGTCTAAATAATGTGATCACAGTAATACAATATGTTTGGAAATATATATATAAGCCCTGTGACATTTTATCTAAAGGCCTCCAAAATCCAAAAGATACACGTATTACTGGTAATGTGTCAACTGGTTCTTATGATATTGTACACCTTAGCAGTTATCATAAAGCCTTGTGACCTTTTATTCCATGATCCGAATATCAATCATATCATTGTCACCCACAATGTGGGAACATACCAAGTTACAAATTGATCCATCAACAGGTGCTCTAAGATATCACAAGACTCTTCATGGGACAAAATCTCTCAAGGGTCCCGACACATGTGATGAGATATATCTGGCAAAATCTTACCCAGCATTTAAGGACGTTTTACAGCCTCTTCACATTGACATGCATCCTGATGCTAAGCTGGTCTAAGTGCTGGTCTAGTATGTGGTTGTTCAAACTGCCTCTCGATCAAATGCGACACAGGTATGGTACTGTAGTAAACAAATACATGTAAGAAGACAATAATACAAAAATAACAAAACATACACAAAATGGCGTTCTGCATTTATGCATTGCTATCATAAACATATATTTCCTCTAAGCTATCAAGAAGTATAGGTGAGTTGTATGAATTTAAAAAAACTTTTGACATCTCAAGATATTGTTTTTTTCATACATATCCCACAAATCAATCTGTCATCAACTCATCGTCAGCTCAATCGGTAAGGACAGCGTGTTACTAATAGAACTTTGGATTTGACGTGAGGGTTCGAATCTCAGTTTATTCAGTTTTTTTGCCTTTATAAATAGTGGGGCAAAGCAATAAATAATCGAAGTCCAATTGTTTGTGACCTCTTTTTATGTATGAAAATGAGTTCATACTGGAATCTGGGCACGCTGGGGTACGAAAAAACAAGACCCGGCCTGAAACGACATACATGTAGCCGATTGGCCTTCCTAACATCACAATAAAAGAATTTGCTGAAAATGATGACATTCTGGGAGAAACGAGTCACTGTGTATGGAACCAAGTGATGTTAGGATGATAAGATGCATTTCAGTGTTTTCACAAAATCAAGGAGGGGTACAATTTTTGAAAATCTTACCCTGCATTTGGAGAGGTTTCACAGCCTCTTCACATTGACATGCATCCTGATGCTAAGGTGGTCTAAGTGCTGGTCTAGTATGTGGTTGTTCAAACAGCCTCTCGATCAAATGCTGCACAGGTTTGTTACTGTAGTAAAGAAATAAGAAGACATTTGTACATAATAACAAAAAAATATATACACAAAATGGCATTCTGCATTCATTGCTATCTTAATATGAGCACTGGTTTCTCTTACAGCACGGAAAGATCAAGATGTTAATATGACACATGTTCATTGGCTATTACACTGAATTTTAGTTTTTCTAGAAGAATTAATCATGTGTAACCATGTGTCGAATAAACCGCATACACGTCGTACAGTAATTTGTTGTAAAATCTGACACAAATTATTGCTGTATTAACCAGGAAAGCAGAGTTCTTTTTTAATGAAACTTTTACACATCATTCGGACATTTCTAACAATAGGTGAATAGGTGAACAGTTCATACTGGAATCTGGGCTCGCTTGGGTACGAAAAAATAAGACGCGGCCTGGAACGACCTAGCCGATTGGCCTTTCTAACATCACAATAAAAGAATTTGCTGAAGGTGATGACATTCTGGGAGAAAGGTGTCACTGTGTATGGAACCAAGTGATGTTAGGATGATCAGATGCATTTCAGTGTTTTCACAAAATCAAGGAGGGGTACAATTTTTGAAAATCTTACCCTGTATTTGGAGAGGTTTCACAGCCTCTTCACATTGACATGCATCCTGATGCTAAGGTGGTCTAAGTGCTGGTCTAGTATGTGGTTGTTCAAACAGCCTCTCGATCAAATGCTGCACAGGTTTGTTACTGTAGTAATCAAATAAGAAGACATTTGTACATAATAACAAAAAAAATATATACACAAAATGGCATTCTGCATTCATTGCTATCTTAATATGAGCACTGGTTTCTCTTACAGCACAGAAAGATCAAGATGTTAATTTGACACATGTTCATTGGCTATTACAATGCTGTCTTTCTATTTCAATTCAGTTTTTCTAGAAGAATTAATCATGTGTACCATGTGTCTAATAAACCGCATACACGTCATACAGTAATTTGTTGTAAAATCTGACACAAATTATTGCTGTTTTAACCAGGAAAGCAGAGTTCTTTTTCATACATCATTCGGACATATCTAGCAATAATTTTGGCATGGGATGAAAGACTCAAATGTCATTTTGGGCAATACCTGACAATTTCCAGGTGCACCTGTAAGGGTAGCACACCACTTGAGTCAAATCTTGTCAGTATACCAGGTCTCTACTTTTAACAGAAACACCACCCGTAATCAATAATCTTACAAATGAGTTTTAGTAGTCCAGTCCATTCCACTAATAAAAAAAAAAACTAAGAAAAAATAGTTTCCAGACTAATTGTATAATTTGAATACCCATTACAATACTACAGTAATCGTTAATGGGTCTGCAGATAGAGACTAGTCCATTGTCTAGGATGTACGCATCTACCATGCTTTGAATGTATTCAGGTAAGAATTGGCGCACACACAATGTACGTTTACTTTTACTTGGGCGCTTGCCTAATGCGGTGGTCACATCCCGCCGTACTTGCAAGTACGTGCTGTCTACGTGCAAAAACGTGGGCAAAATTTGGGTATCCGTACGTGATGAGTACCGCCTCCGTACGGATTTGAGAGCACGCAGACACACCGTAGCACTTTTAGTGCACGAGGAACTTTCGCTGCGTTCGGGCTGCGTTCGGGCTACCGATTCACCCCAGTGCGTGTGACGTGCGTGCCCGGTACTGCCAACGAGCGCACAACGCACTGACTCCGTGCGTCTTTTGAAGGCGCACGTGATAAGTGCGTGGTCCGTGCTTACTCGCCACTTCCCCAGTTCAGCTATCAAATGAGCACGTAGAACTCACGTGGACCGTACCGAGTGAGCACTTACAACGCACGTTGTTCGCACTGATTTATGCAGTATATAGTCTCTTCGGTGAAATAGGCGGCATCTTGAGGCAGCCTACATATACACCGTCCTACATATACACCGAGTTCATCGCACGTGCACGCACTTACAACATGCGTGTGAGTAAGAACACCGTACGTGAGCAGCACTTGTAAGTACGGCCACCGTGCGATAACGTGGCAACCGCACGGAGACCGTACGTTGTAAGCACGTACAACGCACTTACCACGTGCGCAACGTACGATGCACGCAACCGTTCACGGCCAGGCGTGGCGTGCGGGCCACGTACTTACACAGTGCGTGTGACGCGCGTTGCCGGTACTCCCTCCCTGCCTTTGCCACTCCATCCCTACGTTTTCAGAAAAACGTGGCGGCCGTGGCCTCCCCAAAAACCGTACGGACTAAAAACACGCATGGTGGGATGTGACCAACGCTTAACCAAACTATCTAGCCTTAGCTTGGCAAAGGAGTACGTGTTTCTCAAAAATGGGCCATTTTAGCTTTTTTCCATTCCCAGGGTTTTCAAGGTCCAAATTGTAATTAAGCAAACTCCCATATCAGCTTAGATTTAGGTTTCCGAGATATCAGGGGCCATATACACCCAATTACATAATTTGTATAGTACTGTATGGTAATGTAGATCTATATATCCACGTCCATGGAATTGTTGTTATAACTTAAGCGATTTACATGTTGTGTTGGGACGTATGGGATGCTGGCCTGGATCATCACCTTACCTTAAAGGGCAATGAAACTGTGGCTTTCGGTTATTATTATTATTATTGTTTAGAGGGTGAACAGACATTTGATTTAATACATAACTTGGCAATTTTGGCCTCCTGGATCCAATAAATCCTTACGTGAACATAGTAACATACCCACATTTTACTAATTCTTATGGCGGCAAAAGATGATGGGAGTGGCCATGTTCTTGTAAATTACCTGACATGCTTTGCAAACTCTGACGTACATGTATGTGCCAATGGTCGAACAAAAAGCTTTTCACTGATTTCAAAGCATCTACAAGTATTCAGATTTCAGACGATGGTTTCTTCAAGCATGTATGTAAATTGTAGTTGTACAGTGCCAGCCGAGCGCAAGGGGAAATTTTTAAATCAATTGCATGACGCGCAAAATCACAAGTGTACGTGTTTATGTCATCTTTGTCATAGAAAACATACTTACTGTACGAGTGGCTTAGTAAAGTGCGCGCCTAATGCCCAGGGGGGGGGGGGGGGGGGAGTGCACTCAGTCATAGATCTAGACCTAATGTAATAGTATGACGGGTATGTGCTGCTACTGCCTGCTAATACAGTTAACCTTTTAGTTCTACAACCATGCGCGTAGCCAGAGGGGGGGGGCGGTCGCCCCAAAAAAAAACGCCGGCCGAAAAGAAAAAAAAGAGAGAAAAAAAGAAGAAAGGAAGAGGATGTAGGAAGAAAAAGGATTAAGAGTCGAGAACGGTACAACGAATCGTCTTCTTTCTTTAATAATCTAATTAAAAACGTCAAAGCTTCCGTGCTATGGGCAGAGGAAGGGGATATTGATTCAAACAAGGATTACGAGTTGAGGACGGTACAACAAATCTTCTTCTTTCTCTAATGAAACGTCAAAAGAAACTGAATTTAGATAAGGATTAAGAGTCGAGTACGGTCCAACAAATCGTCTTCTTTCTCTAATAATTTAATGAAACGTCAAAGCTGCACCCACCTAGACCGAAAACTTCAGTCTCTCTAATCGTCGGTTGTTCCACTGAGACTACGTCTGGCTCCACTAGACCTCCGATTATAGATGACAACAAATGTCAGTTTTATTAAAGAAATGACCCAAATCAGATGGTTATTGCTGTCTACACCCACCCCCCTAGGGAGCCGCTACGCGCGCTCTGTGTTTCGCAGGCTTCGAGCTTGTATACAACGGCTAGAGCAACACGGTACTAGATGGATCTAGATCTAGTCTAGGGTCTAGTATTGTTTAGTAGTCTATTCCTGTTTTCGACGTCTTTGGCATCGGCGTTGGAGCTTCCTGGCCATGGAGTTCTATAAAGAATTTAGGGAGTCGGCATGATCGGGCTAACTCGGACCAGGCGACAACTCGGCCCAGCTGCAAAAACGGTCATTTTTTGCATGTTTAGGTTTAGGGTTAGGGTTAGGGTTAGGGTTAGGGTTAGAGTTAGGGTAAAATGACAAAAAATGACCGTTTTTGCAGCTGGGCCGAGTTGTCCCCTGGTCCGAGTTGGCCCGGATCCATTATTGATCGACAAATCTATCGCTTTCATATGGCCCCTGCTTCATATTTACTGCAGCAGCAGTCTTTCAGTTTGGCAGTTTCTAAATCAAATTCGCCACAAAAAAAACACAAAAATAATAATATTAATAAGTCATAAGACTAAGAGCCAGGAGCAATGGCAAAGGAAAAGAGGCCATGTTATATTGTCATGATTGTTAACGATAGATTTGTAGGCCTAAAGTTAGATCTAGTTCTAATTGTTCCTCCTAGATCTATTCTATGATTAAACTAACAACACAGGGTAAAGTACATACCAGCCTTCGTCAAGCTCGTCGAGTAAGCTGCCTCGACATCGACGTCGACAGCAATCATGTCGATCCTGCAAAAATGTGCATGCATTCACGTCACCGTTTGGCTTCCAGTCTAGCTAGCTACCCTCACGAGCCGCGAGTCGACCAGCACGCCTGGCCGGGGCCGGGCGGCCAGCGCCAGGGAGCTAAGACATATGGCGCGCATCGCAGTCGGATATCCTGGTCGCTCGATCAGGCGAAAATCAATACTGTACGAAAATGTTAGAGTTTTCCTAACCCTAGCTAGCCCTATATAGGCAGCTAACCACTGATCTCTACCCAATTCAGTGCAGCTAACCCTAGATTGTTCACATTATATTTCAACGCAAGTTGGCGCTTTTGCCTTTGAAATCGAGAGTCCGTCATGATCTTTGGCAAGATTTATACTATTTTGTAAACTTCATTTAAAAACAGGAAAATGCGTTTCCAGTAAAATTGACAGCGGATTTAAATTACAATTTACTCCTGCTAACTTGGTATAAAAGGGCAATCAATAAATCCAATAATTGGAGCCGTCAGAAAGGGATTGTGTTACGGGGACATGTACGAGTCCCCGTAACACGGCAAGTCCCCGTAGCACGGGGATATACCCCGACAGAATGTCCGCGTAGCACTAGTTTTACATAAATATATATATATTGTGACGAATATATGAAAATGATCTTTCTCTTTCTACTCTTTCTCTTTTTATATTCAATACTTGTAAATATTGTGACCATTATAAATATAAAATGTCTTTTCTGGTCGTTACTTATTTGTGACATGTTTTTAACGGATTGCTCTGAACGAGCGACTAATATAACAAGTAGCATGTGCTCTTGTTGATAAACAATGCTTAATTTATTCCACTATTGATCGATAACTTAATATTCATGTATTATTCATTAGTTTAAGGCGCGATCCAAGGTGCGCAGCCAATTAAATGATTGTATATGCGCGTACGGCTTTCTTTTCCATGCGCGACCCAACCAGTATAAATAGTCCGCGCGTGGGTTACTGGGTTACCCAGGTACGTGACTGACAGCTTTTTACAGGCTAGTACGCGACTACAGTTTTTGCAGACTACGTGTTACGCGAAAGGTGAATATAAATAGTGACTCATACAATGTTTACTTATGCAAATTTACTAGGATTGTTCCAAAATATGGAGTGAAAGGGATATTTTATTGTTCTATGGATCAATGCGGTCAGAGTGGTGTATATGAAGAGAGGTTTTGAAGTATTTTTGATGGTGATATATTAAGTTGGAAATAGGCATCTATATTTGTAATAGTTTGGATGGGGGGAAGCAAGACAGAATGTCCAGTACCGGTAGTGAATGGACGAAACGTCCTTGAACTTGTCTAGGACGGTCGGTGCGTCCTATTTTTAGAGGGACGGAACGTCCCATTATCGTTTTAGGGACACAGTGTCTCCCTTAAGTGTATAAATATTGGCATGGGATTATAGTTGAATTATTATAGAGATATCATTATACAAATACATGAAAGATGTTTTTCTTATGTGAAATGTCTATTTTGTGTGATTATCTTCTTCTTTGTGAAGATTATATTGCCATTTTTGTTAAGGAATAAATCTAGAATTGGTCAACCTATTTTGGAAGAGAGAGATTTTTGCTCTTTGGTGTCCTAATTGATTAATTTGGACACATAAAATTGAGTGTGATTCAGGTCGTTGGGCAGACTGACAATCTGTCCCAAATGCGGTCATATCTCAAGTCTAGCCATTTCTAGTTTAATTTCTATGGCCAGTTTAACTATGTTTGATAAGGAATATTACATTGTATTGTTGTCTTGATTTTCTCCTAGACTATGAATATTTGGAAAGGAAGGCTTCGGTCCTCTGTGACCTAATTAAGGCCGAAAGTCACCAGTGCCTCCGTAGTTTAATTCATATATTTAATATTGTATAACGCTTAAACTTATAACACATGTATTCGCCTATCTAGAGGGCGTGATACTCCGTAGATCGTATAATGATGTTTTAATGAACTTGATATTGTATATAGATATTGTATAGAAAGTGTATAAAGGATCGAGAGAGTTGGAGAAACAACTTTGTCGTATATCTATAGTTTATTATCTACATTTATTTAATGCATATATAACAGTTTATTACAGACATGAGTGTAACTCCCCCCCCCCCCCCCCTTTCTCCTTCTTCGTCCTGTCTTGGAAGGGACAGTGTGTCACTATGAACATGACTGACAATGAGAGCGGACAAAATATACAGTTCCTCAGGTAGACAAAGGAACATCCCTTACTGCTATTATGTAAAAATGTGTAGAACAGGTGTCACATGCATATTCACCTTTTTACATAATAGCTGTGAAGGGATGTTCCTTTGTCTACCTGAGGAACTGTATATTTTGTCCGCTCTCATTGTCAGTCATGTTCATAGTGTGTCCTTCAACCTGGAATGGACACAGAACGTTATATGTATAGACAATGCATGGGCTTGTCTTGGAGGACACAGTGTCCTTAGATTTGGACATGGACACAGTGTCTCTTTTCTTCCCCCCCCCCCCCTTCTTACTCATTTGAATTGCACTCATTATTGTATATAGCATGACATGTATATTAATAGAATGACATTGAATAGTGGACAGTTGAATATGTACACTCGTAGTTAATTAATTAAATAGCTGCATTTACGAGCCTATCTAAATCAGGCAATTATTACTTTACTACATAATTAAGAGGTGCGAACTTAAGACAGTAAGGGACGAATTCAATGGAATGCCGGTTATCTTTGAATTTAGAAAGTCAAATCTTATACAAGTATATTCTGGAGTAAGTTATAACTAGGAGATAAATACTCGAGGCTAGTTTATAACGGTGATGATGGATTTATATAGGTACAATGTTTAACCGACACAGTGTGTTAGCTTGTTACTTAATAAAGGAGTGGAAAGACTTTTGAAATCCTGGTCGGAAGGGTGTATTGGTTTAAATGTTTCATTCTTGTAGAATGGGGATGATAGGGACACATTGGCCAAAGGTGTCGGGCGCAGGTAGATAGTTGTTTCAAGGGGTAGGAGTACCGAGAATACTAGTAGTCGGTCAGAATAGAGTTACTTGTAATAGGAGTTAGAAAGAAATGCTAACTTTGGTTTGATAGCCATGGTGGTTTGTAAAGTTCGTTAGAAAAGCCTCTATCTAAGTTCAGTAAGTTTATACATGTACATTATTTAAATCGTATGCAGTCTATACTAGTCAATTAAGTGTTGACATCCTGTAAATATGAAGCTAAGAAATACTGTATAAATTATATAAGCAGTAAACATTTATTACAATAATTAATTAATGTACATCTAGTAGCAATCAGTAAGTTAGTAAGTTCATGGAAGTATTTCTATTCTTGTTGAGAGTTTTACAGTTCTTATGTTGTTGAACAGTTGCCTAGAAATGGCTTAGTGAATAATAAATTCATTATTCGACTTTAGATCGATTTCAAGTTACAAATCTTGTTAGTCTGGTTTGCCTAGTAAATTAAGTATGCATTGTTGATGATAGCGTACAAAATCTATAGTAGAATTAGAACTTACTGTAGGATTTATTACTAAACAGGAACACAAAACTTCGTCTGTATATTTCAGACAAACGGACTCAGGTCATCGTGCCTTATATATCGCTCGGAAGTGTGAAAGGGAATAAGATACTATTTTTGTTATTTAGTGAGTGACTGAGTGGAAGACTTGATACACAGAAATGAATGTATGGGACATGATTATGGTCTAAATGGTGTTGTGAGGCTTGTTAGAGAGACAAAAACATGATTAGTTCCTACTTAATGATACTTAATTACGGTATCAGGGGTGAGAATAACACTCACCTATAAAAGGATGGAAGATATTGTGAAGTGGTTTGAGACTCTAGAAGCTAACTTTGAGTGGAAATGGCCAAATCAATACAGGATTTTCCCAGAGTGAGACAGTGCGTCTTGCACGTGACGAGAGACAGATTGGGAAAGGACGAGACAGTGCGTCCCAAAAGGAAGCAATTGCCATACGTCACAATGACTTTAAGCGTATACTAGTAGAAGGACGCATGGTCCGGTTTCTTAGGAATCTGGGGGCCGTTTCTCGAAACCGTCATAACTACAAGATCAACGACATCTCTCCACTGTCACGCAACTTGTCAGCTAAGTGTTTCACGAAGCCGTCTTTGCCAAGATGAGCGACAACTTCCGCGACAAGCGAGTTGTCACTGCTCCGAACCTGTCATATCTTTTTAATTGCTGTAAAGCGCCACCACAAGTCAGTTTGTTGCCATTCCATGGGCCGCGAAAAGGACGATTAGTTTCACTATCATTTTGAGAAAAATATAGACGAGTTCGGTACGTAATTCTCTGGAATACGAAATGCAAATGTACAAAAGTGAAAATACAAATTATACAGAAACTTTAGATAAGCGGAATATAAACATTAAATCACAAATCATTAAACTATGACATATAAATAAGAGAGGTAAGAATGTTACACACCGTTTTCCATAGTCGATCCATAGTCTTTTCTTAGGATACCGTCATACCTTTGTGGCCTATGTGCATTATTATTCCCTCTCTAATTACTTCTTCCAAATTATATTTTAAATATCAAATCAATTATATAACGAGTATTTATGAGACTCTAGAATAAAAAACTGGCTGAGAAAAGACAAATTTGCCTAAAATTCCTCGTCACAATAAACAAAAAAGTACGTATTGATAAACTATCACATTACGGTATCCTTCAACTAACTTTTGATTCGACTGTCGAAAAAAATCATTCACCGGTTTTTCTTCAATTTAAGAATCTTTACAGAAATATGCAAATCGTTTGATGATGTAAATATGATAATTACACTATTTATTATTTATTTTAGGAGAATTTATACGTATATATTTCTTTTTGAACAAATTTAGCCCCAAAACTTGTTTTGGGTTATTCTTGATAAATCAAATGGATCGTGACAAAGACTATGTTCTTGAGCTGCTAGTATCGCGATATATCGATATCATGTCTGTCATGGCTTTGTGAAACGGTTTATCCGCTTCATGACATCTCCGTAGGTCGCCGACAAAGATATGA